AAATCCTTTGTGTTCTATATTAACCACCCGACTAGACGAGCGGGTGCTCTGGTATAGATATAAATCCAGTATTCGACATTAATCACCCGATTAGACGAGCGGGTGCTCTGGTGAAGATGTAAATCTGAGGATTTAATTTAAGGCTCCACCTTTGTGTCAGGAAAATTTTTTTTTTTACTTCTTGGACCTTTATATCACCGAGTTTCTTCCAAATTAAACGTTAGAAACCGGAGAAGGTGTACAATTAGTTTTAGATTAGATTCATTGCTAATTATTTGTAGAAAAATTCTAGGTTTATAGAGGGTAATCTCGTCTAACCTGGTGTTTTTTTTACATGCGAATCATCTTTTTTTTTCCCGGTCGTTGCTGACACCTCAACGCGGTGATCGGGTGAACGAATATTATAAAATTCGTTCCGAATTTTATAAAAAATTCGGCCAAGATCAGCTTAGAAACATGCCGCATTACTTTAAAATTTAAGATAAGATATTATTATTTTATTACGTGTAGTTTTTTAATTAATCGTGTATATTTATACTTATATTGTTTATTTTATGTTTAAAAATCATATGCAATTAGAGAATCGATTACGGCGTAAAAGTGTCTACGGGTTAACTCAAAACACAATCGCAAATGAATATATGCTGAATTTTATTTTAAAAGATATAGTCTGAATGGAATATGGGGTCTTTGCTTTGAAAATCACGTCCCGACATTTCTGATCGGGTTAATTCGGATAAAAATAAACCCGAGTACCGGTTAACTTTATTGATTCAATCCAATAGTTTATCGAATAACTATTGAATCAATGTAAAAGATGATTAACATATGAACATGAACCGGTACTCGGGTTTATTTTTGTCCGAATTAACCCGATCGGAAATGTCGGAAGGTGATTTTCAAGGCAAAGACTCCATATAGTGTTTGCAAATAATATTTTGATATAAAAAATAATCAATGATTCTAAAAAAACAAAATATAATTATCAATTAACAGTTTTTTTTTTTATTAATTTTAATAGTTAACAAAAATAGAATTTGAGAATTATCTTGACTTTGAAAAAAAATTAAAACAAAATTAAAAAAAATCAAAAAAATTTAAAAAAATTTAAAAAAATTTAAACAAATTTAAATTGTTTTTAGTAACATAATAGTACATCCCGAAGACAAAATCTTAAGATGGTACATAATCCCGATAGACAAAATCTTGAAATATTATAATTCTGACAAGTACAAAATCCTAACAAGTACAAAATTCCGGCAGTCAAAACAAATATTAAGTTACATTATTGTAAAATTTGCAACTTTAATACTATTAGTAATTAGCTATATAGTTACTTTATAGTAGCTATAGTTTTACATTTACTATATGTTAACAATATGCCTACTACTGTTTACTACTATGTTACTACTATTTTACTATACTTTTGCAAAAAATTTTTTGTAAAATTGTAGTAAAAATATAGTAAAATAGTAGTAAGTAATAGTAGATGTATTGCTAATATGTAGTAAATACGTATAAAACTATAGCTATTATAAAAGGATTTTACTAAAACGCACCTATGGTGTTTTACCACCTATGTTGTATAATCTAAAAAACTGGCTAATTAATCATTGTGAGATGTTCTAAGTAAAAATGTTCTACGCCCCAAAAAACCTTTCCCAAACCCTAATCCTAACCTTAATATTAACTTTAACGTGAAAAAATTGATGTTAAAAATTTTATATACAAAACTTATAAAAACTTAGAAAATTTTAAAAAACATAATAAAAACATATAATAGGTGCAAAACCACCATAGGTGCGTTTTAGAATAATTGTTATAAAATAACTATATATTTAGTTATTTTATAGCTAATTACTAGTAATATTAAAATTGCAAATTTGCAAGTTTTAGTAAAATATATGTTGGGAATGATACTGAAATTGGCTAAAGCTAAAAATTTGGAGTCTCAATTTAGATCCATAAAATCTACCAAAATCTACTTATAATTGTTTATTATAAATTTTACCTATAAAGCTGATCTCTAACTCTAAAAAAAAGTCAAAATGTATACCAAAAATTGTTAAATTTGTATAATAAAATAGATCAAATTTTCAGCTTCAACCAATTTTGCTTTAGTTACCACAATATATTATCTTAAAAACTAGCCAATTAATTAGTATAAGATGCCTTAAGTAAAATATTTTATATTCAAAAAATCTTTTTTAAAATCCTACAAATAAACTCTAATATAAAAAATTTTATAATAAAAATTTGGTATAAAAAACTTAAAAGAATCTAAAAAACATAATAAAATATATACTTATCAAACAACTAGAGCGTGGAGAATATTAGGCTATAGAAATATGTTCAATTCTATGTGGTTGCATAAAGACCTAACCACACATGAATAGAACTTTATTATCATCTGACGGCGCATGCGCATTAATAATTATATTAGGACTGGGTGTTGTAAATTAGTAAAATCCGCTACATAGATCACGTTAGGGTGAAATCCACGTTTAGCTATTTTTTTATTATGCAAAAGCGAATTTCACCTTCATGTGATCTATGTAGCAGATTTTACTAATTCACAGTGCGGGTTTCACCCTATCATATTATATTTTTCGACTATATAATTGGAAATTAATTAATTGTATACCTGCATTAGTTCGAAATCTCCTACAAAACCGTCTATAGCTTACATGAACTAGGAGAGGTAAAAATTAATGAAAAAGGGCCTCTTAATCCGAACCAAATCCAAAAAAAAAGTGATGCAAAATTGGTATTAGATGACTTATTTAGAACCTTTGGTTTAATGCCGTATTATGATGTGCCACAATTCGACGTGCACCTTTATACGATCATGTTATCAGCATCTATAAAATTGGAGTCATGGCAATTAGTTGACGAAGTCGCTAGAGAACTTTTAGACCATTTGGACGAATCTCACAATCAAGAACAAGATATATTTAAAGAATATAGCGATGAAGTGAGGATGTCATGGTTAACATCATGTTTAGAAGTGTTCATGTTATTGGAAAAGTGGTATGGTGAAAATAAGAATTTGATATATGCTGAAAAGTTTAAGAATTTACAGGAACATTGGAAAAAAGAAATAAAGATACAAATTTAAGGATATCTTTTCGACCATCGTACAAAACTTCCTTTGTTTGATAGAAAAGTTAACGAACAAAAAAATATATATATATAGTAAATAAATCTTAAATTCCCAAACCACACTAAATTATTAACGTTAAGTATCATTATTGGTATCATAATATTGCATAACAATACATTGTTTTAAACCTGATTCAGCAATATAGTATTCTTCAACTATTCTTGATTATCTCTGGTACTAATTAATTTTTTCGAATTCATCATGCCACTTTATACTAGAAAAACTTATTTTGTTTTGTTGATATACTAATCAAGCTTGTTACTTAGTATTTAATATTTTTTTAACCAGATTTGATAGGTTAATTTTATTCGATGGTTTATTAACAATTTACAGAAACGCATTTATTTTATAGACTTTAGACTGACACTGGCAAATTTGTCTATTTATTATAAATTGCTTTTGATCTATTTAAAAACAAATTTTTTGGATAGGCGATTTATATTAATTTCGATTTTTTCAAATTCATGCTACCTACTTATATGAAACTGAGTTTTAAAAATTCTGAAATTTTTTGATAATGATTTGAGATATATTTCATGGTGCAGACATATTGTCGTAATTAGGTAGTAACCTAATTACCTCAATAAAAATTATCTGTTTTAAAGTAAGTCGTAACTAATTACGACAATATGTCTGCACCTCTAGATATATTACAATTTTACACTTAATAAAATAAGAAAAATTATCAAACAATTGAACCAAATTTTTGAAAAAAAATTTTTAGTGCAATTGTTGTTTTTACTTTTAACAACAAATATATGGGGTCTTTGCCTTGAAAATCACCTTCCGACATTTCCGGTCGGGTTAATTCGGACAAAAATAAACCTGAGTACCGGTTCATGTTCATATGTTAATCATCTTTTAACTTTATTGATTCAATAGCTTATTGAGTAACTATTGAATCAATAAAAGCAAAAGATGATTAACATATGAATATGAACCGGCATTCGGCTTTATTTTTGTCCGAATTAACCCGATCGGAAATGTCGGAAGGTGATTTTCAAGGCAAAGACTCCATATAACCAAGTCTCTCCCGCTGGACGTCACAACACATACAAAAATTCGATCAATACTATTGCAATTCGGATTATATATTTAAATTAACTAATGCAACACATCAATCGCCGAAAATTTTGATCTCAGAAGCTAGTATCATGTAAAAAATTTATCTCAACTTACACAATTATGCAGAATTACATATTTATGCATAATATAGCCTTTTTGGTTCACCTTTTTTTTGTATAACCCATTTGACAAATATTTGCAGTCTGGATTTTACGTGATATAGAAATGACCTGCAATATACTAAAAGGTTATTCTAAACCCGATTTCTATTCAAAAAAAGCATTTTTTGTTGCTGTACAATCAGTTTTAAAAAAACCTTTAAAATATTCTTGCAAAAGTCATCACTGATCGAAAAAAATAAATCAGTAGAAAATTCAGTAGCAATTCAGTAATAATTCAAATACAGATTCGTATCTAAATTATTACTGAATTGCTACTAAGTTGCTACTGGTTTATTTTAATTTTTACTGAATTATAATATTTCGACTAGTGCATTCTATGAATATGTAGTCTAGGAAAATCCCTGGGGATCCCTGAGGCTAAAAAAGGCGTTTGTGTGCCAAATAACACACAGCCAATGATTAGTGCAAATTTTGTACTATAGAATAAAAAAAGAATTTTCCAATTGAAGATCTTTTACCAAAAAGAGAAATGAAAAATCATTTCAGTATTTGTCTAACGTTAAGTTAAAGGTTCCTCTTGTTTATGATTCGAAGCATTCAGGATATGCTGTCTTCTAATTTCTTACTCATATTTATCTAGTCTATAAATAAAACGGTCATTCATTAATTGAAGTACTTAAAAAAGTTACAGTAGTTTTAAAAACAGGCTGAAAAATTTTCGGAATTACCTGTATATAGCGTTTGCTATTTACGTATTACCGTATTACCTTATTTAATTGTAAAAATTTTTCTACGTCAATAAACTTTAACTCCCTTTGACGTTCAAACGCCTAATTAATAAAATAAAAAAATCCAAATAATATTTTGAATTAACTATAAAACTCCGAAAATCCGATAATGTTTTTACGAAAAAGTGCTATGAAAACGAACCTTTGGATTTCCTCTTTAGTTTTACTGATAGGACTCACTTTATTTATTACAGGATATTATGTAACAAGTAACTTTCAGGATTTCTCCGTGCTGGATTTTTCAGTGTATACAGGTATGAAATTTTAAGATTAACGATTTTAGTCATAACATGCATTATCTTAGAATAATAGATGTGGTGTATATGGTCTAGTTGGTAATGCTGAAAATTTGCCGTTCACCGCCTTTTAAACATTATAATAAAAGCTTAAAAAAGCTTAAAACCAGATACATCTTAAACATATATACTATTTTTCAATTAAATTTTAGGAAAACAAAAGGTGCCAAAAGTATTACACTATGTATATGCTAATGATGATCCAGCAAATTTAACGTTTTCTTTTAAGTATTGGCTCGCCATGACTTCAGCCATTGAGACTATTAAGCCGGAAAAAACATTATTTCATTGCATTTATGAACCAAAAAGTTACTGGTATCAGCTTATAAAGCCTAAAATAACCATTACAGAAACACGAAACGTTACAGAGATTTTTGGCAACCCTATAAAGGTACTTCAACACAAAGCAGATATTATCCGACTTGAGGTGATGCGAGATTATGGGGGCATTTATTTAGATCTTGATGTGATAGTTTTTAAGCCATTTGATGATCTTCTTTATAATGACTTTACTATGGGGATCCAAAAGGATGTCGGTCTTTGTAATGCAGTAATTATCAGCAGACCATTCGCTCCTTTTGTAACCAGATGGATACAACAGTATAAAAACTTTAATGACAGTGACTGGGATTATCATTCAGTTAAGCTGCCTTGGTTTATGGCTAAAGAATATCCAGATTATATCAATATTTTGGATGAGAAAGCATTTTTTTGGCCAACTTGGTCTGTAGAGGATCTGGAATTGATGTATAAATCAAATAATTATACCTTCACCAACCACCAGTACACTTATCATATGTGGGCAGCAGCGTTGGGTCGTAAAAATACATCAGATTTATTCCCAACATCGATTAAAAATGTGGAAAATATGGAAACAAGTTTTAATAGAGCGGTTCGAAAGTTTTTAAAATATTTACCTGACGACTTTAATGAAACGAACTTTAATGAATGAACGGAGCAAATTTTAAAAAGTGATGGGAATCTAGTGTTGGATTTTTATAGAAATTTGTAATCTTGGAAACTTAGCAACTATAGTGCATGCATACAGTGCTTGCAAAAAGTCTCTCGCATCTTATCCTGATATAATAAAGCTTTATAGGTTTGAATTGTTTTGAATAGGTAGTATAAAATATATCTGATTGCTATAAAGATTTTTGTATTTTTACAATCATTTGAATGAGCTAAATTTGGATCTGATTTAATTAATAAACGTGATTATATTGATAATTTTTAAAATTAAAAATTTTTAAATAAAAATTCAAATATTTGATAAAAAAATTAACTAATAAGACAGTTATTGAAAAATTAAATTTTGAAGTTTTATTTTCAGAATCTAAATATAACACCTAAAAAAATTTTAAGCATCAAATTTCAAATTTTAATTTTTTGCAATTATTGATGTACCATTTGGTTCAAAATTGGCATTATTTGCGTTTTAGCGTTTTTAGCGTTTTAACGTTAGCGATTTGAGCTATGCGCAACATAGATTAGTTCTATAAAGGGAATGTGATCTATGTTGTTAATAAAATAAAAAAAATTAGCTTGAACTAACCCTAAAGGCATTAAAAATATATCAAATTTGCATATTACCCTACACTGGGTAAATATATATAATTATTTGGAGGGAATTGGCATCTGATTTTTGATTGATAGTTAAAGATATAGTTAATAGATAGAAAAATTATAATTGAAAAAAGTTTTGATACAAGGTATACAAAATTGCAAAAAAATTTTCATAAATAAGATTATATAATAAATAAAAGAAAATAACTGTCGCAGATCATAATGAAATCGGATTAAAATGAAATGAGGAGTTTCTATTTGAGCCTCTAAAACCCACTTATACTTGTTTATTATAAAATCTGCTTCTAAATCCTAATTCTAACCCTAAAAAAATACTAAAAAAATGCACCCCAAAAATATGTATTTTTCGGTGGCTTGTTTATTTTATATTGTTTCTTATTTCATTTTAATCTGATTTCATTTTAATCTGCCACAATAACTAATGAACATCACAGGTGATGATCACCTGTGATTTACAATATATAATTTCATGTAATGTAAACAAATAAATAAACAATTTAATAAATAAAAAAATATTTTTTTTGGACTTTAGGGTAAGGTCAGAGCTCATATTAGGATTAGAGTTTAGTAAAATTTATAGTAAATTTTCACAAGGAATTTTTTTACTTAGAATCTCAAAAGTGGTTTTATAAGCAAAATTTTAAGATAATTTTACTATAGGTGATAATCACCTGTGGTATAAATTAGAAATTTTCTAAATAGAATATTAATTTATATATATATTTGGCCTTTATTATTTAAATTAGAAGTACCAGAATATTATATTATTATTATTTTTTTTTTTTTAAATATTAATGGTGAGGCCATGCCTTTAACTTTATTGAAATTTAATTGAAGTTTTTACAAAGAA